TATATCTTCTGCCTTGTTTCCTTTTTATTCCAGTAGAGCCCTTACCTGACCTCTTCACTACTCTACCGAGGTTAGACTTGGCACTTACTGGGTAACGTTGCGGTGTACTCATACTATACTTCTGCACATTTTTTTGTGTAGATCCAGGTTCTTCTTACCAGGCCAGATACCAGTGAGATAGCCGTACGTGGAGACTTCAAGGTACTTCTACCAGCGTCCGCAGACCTCGGAGTCCCCCTCTATCCTTATTATGTTATTTTCTTCCTTATTTTCCTTAGACTCTGATGTATAGAAACACTTAGCATTTCCCTTTAGTGCTTGTGACTTATTTCTACCGGGTTTTGGAAGTTATAATTATTTGAATCGCAATTTTTATATATATTTCATATGTTGAGGCTTGAGTTCAGTTTATATTCTATTATTCCGCACAAATGTAGGTTTACCTAGTCATAGAGACTAGGTGTCGTCATGACATCCTACGGAGGGAAATGTGGGCCGCAACACTTTATTTGTGGTATTTCTGTCCATTTCGTTTTAGATAGTTAGGATTTGATGTTTAGTAGTTTATGTTTCACTTAATTTGATTGGTTAAATTATTTTTCTATATCATATTATTTTAAGACAAATTTGATTGTTATTTTATTAGAGAAAAGCACAATGTTGAGTGATTTTATTGATACAAAACAAAGTATAGTATTTCTGAATCATATTAACACTAGATACCATTTTGTTATCGGTATGGTCCCATATTAAAAAGGACATGTGGCTATACTTGATAAAATAATAAAGGTCCACCAATTTTTAATTAAAACCCACCCGCCTCGTGAACACTCGGATAATGTTAGCTGTGAATGACAACGTGAATAACTCGTCATTTGTCATTCATTTGTGAAAGGTTATTCAAATTTTAAATTGATTGGGTTAAGGCTTCAAATCAGCCAAAAAGGTAATTTTTCTTTTAAACTTAAATCATCTATCGTTAGAGTTCACTATCATCTTTGTTCAATTTTTTAATTTATCCGGTCACTCATGGTGATAACCGCCGTCACTATTCCGGTAGAAAATGAATTTATGTTTTTGTTGGATAGTATTGCAAGGTTGGTTAGCGCCATTATGGTCAAATGTTTCAAATATTTTTTGAAAGGTTTTAATTGAGACCGTATGAATTCAATTAAACCATTTATTATTAGGTCCTACTATTTCTATTTTGTTTTTTTTTATATTTTTTGCATTTCATTTCTACACACTCTTGTAATGGGTTCAAATAATTTAGATTGTGATAGTTAGGATTCCTTTAATTGTGGTATTTCTTTCCATTCCGTTTTACATGTTTAGGGTTTGATGTTTAGTGATTTATGTTTCACTTAATTTTATTGGTGAAATTATTTTATTGTGCCATATTATTTTAAGACAAAATTCACTGTGATTTTATTAGAGAAAAGCACTAAGTTGAGTATTTTGTTGATTCAAAACAAAGTATAGCATTTTTGAATCATATTAAAACTAGATACCATTTTATTACCGGTAAATTGTATTGTCCCATCTTAAAAAGGACACGTGGTTGCCCCTGATTAGATTAAAAAGGTTTACTCATTTTTAATTCATACCCACCCGATATACACTCGGATAGTGTTTGTTGTAAATGACAACATGGATAACTCGTCATTTGTCAAAAGGTTATTCAAATTTTAAATTGGATTGGATTAGGACTTCAAATCTGCCAAAAAGGTAATTTTTCTTTTATACTTAAATTATCTATTGTTAGAGTTCACGATCATCTTTATTTGATTTTTTAATTTATCCGGTTACTCTCACGGTGATAACCGTCATCACTATTCCGGCAAAAATGAGTTTATGTTGTTGTTGTTGTTTGATAGTTATTGCATGGTTTGTTAACACCATTATGATCAAATGTTTCAAACATGTATTGAAACGTTTTAATTGAGACCATATGAATTCAATTAAATCATCTATTATTAGGGTTTACTATTTCTATTTGTTTTTTTGTATCTTTTGTATTTTGTCTCTACACCCTCTTGTAGAGTATCGAGCTTTAAAAAAAGTCATAGCTGAAGTATCTTGGTTGATTCATATATTCAACTACGGCCATTCTGCTCTCCACATTTCCAAGAATCCAGTTTTTTCACGAACAAATAAAACACATTTATATTGACTGCCATATATTCATGAATGTTTGCATTTTGGTTTAATTTCTCTCCACCACCTTTCCACTACTGACCAGCTTACTGATATNCCCCCCGGGTGTTGGGCTTAATAAAGATGAAAAATTCTCACTTTATACCTATTAAGCCCAAACTATTTAACCTTTAATACTCAAGCCCAAAGAATTTACTTTTTCTACCTATACGGCCTAAACTATTTACCCGCCTACCCAATTCCCTTTCCCTTTTAATCTCTCTAAAGAAGCAGGGTCCTACACCCCAAACGTTTTTTCTTCCTTTCAAAAAATATTCATAATTTAGTCTCTTTAGTGGATGACGAAAATCCAGTACAAACCTATGCATTTACCCAATATATTTTTAGAATTTTCTATATAATTTTTAAAAGACAAGTTTTCATATTATTTTACATGAGTTTCACTCCAAAATCCTCTTTCTATATTAGTATATATTTTTTTTGTATTTATTTGTATCTCTGAACCCATGTTGTTGGGTTAAATATTAAGCTTTCCATATCAAAAATTTTGTGTGTCTTTGAAGACCCACCATTGTTAAAACTTGAAGCTCCTAAATTTAAAATTTTATTTTGAAGATTTGATGTTTAATTCAAAGTGGGTGCTTTAAAATATTGCTTATGGTACCTTCGGAAAGTTTATAGTGAAATTTGGTCACAATGGAGCAGATTTGAGATGATTAAGATCTTTTTCCGCTGAAAATAAAAAAAAAACATAATTATCCAATAGTATACCGCTATGGTATACAATATGCTATAGGATAATATAGCTATACTACAACAGTATACTGTTATAGTATGCAATATACTGCAATGATATACTGTAATAATCAAAGAATAATACAATTACCTAATCTACAATATATAATATACTGTAAAAGTATATAGGTATACTGCAACAGTATACTATTATAGTATACAATATACTATAATGGTATACTGTAGTAATATGCAATATACTATAATGGTATACTGTAATAGTATACAATATACCATAATAGTATACTTCGATTACTATTTTTTGAATCATCTAGGTGCTATTATGCAAAGGTAAAGTCATGGTTATAGTAATTAACATCATACGATTATAGTATACAATATACTATAATGGTATACTGTAATAGTATACAATATACCATAATAGTATACTTCGATTACTATTTTTTGAATCATCTAGGTGCTATTATGCAAAGGTAAAGTCATGGTTATAGTAATTAACATCATACGATTATAGTATACAATATAATATAACAGTATATTGTGATTAAAAAAAAGTCATTTTTTTAAATTTATCTAACTATGTCCTTACAAATATTTTCTTAAATGAACTTTTTGATGGAGTTCCATGAAAATAATATTCATTGTATAAGAAGTAGGTGCCGGAAGACATAAAATAGTAATATACTTATTTAGTATATTTATATGCAGTTTTGGTCTACTATTATGAACAAGTATTTTACAATACATTAAATACTAATATGCCATTTTATTATACTAATATACTATTTTATTATAATGATATATAATTTTAGATTCTATGTGCTAGAAATATTTACAGTAATACATATATTTTTAGAAAAGAAAAAAAGAAAATGCAATGAAAAAAAAAGAAGAAAAAATAGGTATACTATATAAGTTGTTCTAATAATTGATTTAAAGAAGAAAAAAGAGAGAAAAAGAAAGACAAATAATATATTATACTATCAGTTATATTAAAGAAGGTGAATAAATATTTACTATATCAGTTATCTTTTATTATTTTATATAAAGAAAAGAATAAAGAAAAGGAGCGAAAAAAGTGAATGTAATTAGATTATGTAGAAAAAAAAAGTAAAATAAAAAAGAACTAAATTAAGTTAGAAAAGGAAGAAGAAACAAAGAAAATGAACAAAAGGCAAAAAAAAAATAGAGAAAAAATAAAATAAAAGAAAGGAGCCAAAATTGAGTATGAAATCAGATTATTTGAAAATAATAAAATAAAGAATAATATGATTTTCAAAAAGAACAGAAAAGGAGAAAAAAGGAAAAAATAAAGAAAAAGGAGAAAAAAATAACCAATTACCTAAAAAAACTACATTGGATAGGAAAGGTAATTAGTTTAATGGGTAGAAAAATAAATAAATAGACAAAGGTAATTAGTTTGACTTTTATGGGTAAAGTTATAAAACTCCCAATAAAGATTTCCCATAAAGATTAGCAGATGAGGCCCAATGCTTGAAGGCAGTCTAGTCCTAGTCTTAGTTTCATTTTTCAGCTCATTACAATTAAACAAATATGTGAGACCAAGTGTATTATACCCGGACCAATTGTAATAAGTATATAAGCATGAGAATTTTCTAGAATTAAAAAAAGAAAGAAGAGATATTCAATTTCTAAAATAAAAGATATTTATTTTCTGTCATTTCTCTCCCTTCAATTACACGATCTGAAGAAATCTCAATCTCGATCAATTGATGCGTATCACAAAATCTAACAGCCTTCTAGGTGGCCAACGAGGTCGCTGCTCCTACATATGGGGCGACGATTACAAAATCATTTGAGTTTCTAATTATTTGCAACCAGTTTGAAGGTCATGAACTGAGTTCTCCTACCTAATATGCTAGTCTTTTGGATTGGATTCTCTGACTGAGTCTATAACAACAGTAGTATAAAGTGATCCACTTCTAATGTACTCTATTTATGCAATATGACGAGGAATTCCACTGGTTAATTAGCAAGCAATTAAGTATAGGTGAGATCAGTAGCTTGAAAATGAGGCGAAATGACAGTTGAATTTTATGTTAACAGTTTTTGCAAATCAAAGACTCTAATCAAAACATAACGGATTGTTTAGGAACCAAAGATGGGAAAACTGAATAGCCAACATAAGTGGCAACTATTTACACACACAAAAAAAAAAAAAAAAAAAAAAAAAAAAAAAAAAAAAAAGTTACATTAATGCTCACACAATACTTCTTTTAAGGCGGGGGAAGAATGGCACGTAATTTTAGAATGAGTATGTTCTTGTGAAGGCCTTTTTTAAAGCTCTCCAGCTTAGAGATCGAGTCGTTAAGAGAGCCAAAGGTGGTGCAGCAGAGGCTCTAAATCGGTGCCGAGAAGGCGGGGTTGATAAAGAATCTGATTCTTGCATTACACCAATGTTGTCTTCTGCATTCCAGAAACGAGCTTCTTTTCTTTTGCTCTTAACTGTGGTTAGTACGTCATACTTGTTGCATATTCCCCATACTGTCACCTTCTGTTGTTCGAAATCTACCTTCACTGAGTATATCCCTGTAATTTAGCATATTAGTTACAGGCACAGAGATTGCACACAGTAATTCCTTTAAAGAAAGCCCATTTCCCTATCTCATTGGCCCTAGTTGCTTTAATCCACTGACCCAAAACATATCTGTTTGGGCATTAATGACAGCAGGTAGCTATTCTATAGGACTGCAATTTAATAATTAGCCACTGTGTCTTGAATTTCAGATTCTCAATTCAATTTTTTAGGACATAAAGTCTTGAAGTTAGAAATTTTTAAAACAAAATAAACGCTAAAAATGACTATTTGTGTACTTCCCTTTGGTCCGTCCATTTGGGAAGGCTGCATTTGTATTAAAGAAGAGAGACTTAAAACAGACAAGTCAGGACTCTACAAACTCAATACGAAAAACATGACATCTGCTGATCCTATAAGATAACTAAAAATATATTTCTTAATATTAGATGAAAATTTACCTTTGATATGGGAAAGAACCTTGTTGACTTTTCTCTCACAACCATAAGAGTAGAGAGGCACCATCATTTCCACATACTGAGGTTCTACATTTCTCCCAGCCGGTACTATCTGCATGTCCGCCATCACCAAATTCTAAGCTTCACCTTATCTCTACTCCTAAATTGTGTTATATATGTAACAATAGTTGTCGTCGCACCTCAAGTTGAGGTTGCACTTGGTTGATAACGAGTTATATATAGAGGGTATATTATGACATTGATGACGACGATCTCCGCTAATCCAAAATCAAAAGCAGCAGACAAGACACGCTAGATTCTTTCTTAAAAGTTGGATGAAAGAGCTAGCACCACTTTTACTTTTAGCTTTTACATTCTTAATTGACGTATTCTGTGCAAATTAATCCTATTTCTTAGCATTGTTCTTTAAGGTTGGCTGCTGAAAGTCATATAGAAGTTGTAGCTCCAGAGGCTTCTATTTTATGGTTCTCTGAATAAGGGAAATTTTCTTTAAAAATACGTGGATTGTGACTAGGACGACTGAAAAAGAGCAGTGTCATCAACTCATATCATGTTCGTAAGTCAATCAAGAAGATAAATTCAAGTGGGATTGGATAATTCAATTACTTTAATTTGTTCACAACCCATGTGGCCTGCATTACTTAGCATGTAAGTTGTCTTTCGAAATGCCAAGGATTAGATTGTTAATTAAGGATTTAAAGTGTTTTTGGAAGCATAACTACGAAAGTTATTGTTTCCTCCATCCCGATTTTGGTACCCATTTGGTTTGGACATGACTGTTTAGCTAAAGTTGAAGTTTTGTTATGTTGAATTCAAAGCGGATCCAAAAGTAGAGAAACAAAATTGACTTTTTGAGGAACTTGGATACTGTAGTCTTCAAGTGTAAACACCAGTAACTATTGTTTCAAATTCATTTTTTGATTAAGGTTTCAATCTTTTATGTAACCACTATCAATGGATTTGAAATTCCCACATGATCATATAAAAGATAAGTTTGTAAAAATGATAAGTGTTATAGTTGTCAAGTTGCAAACGACCTAAAGAGCAGATTTTATTTTATTTTTATTTTTTTTGGGAAGGGAGGGGGGTTCTATCTGGTTGTACTGATCATGATTCATGGACTTCTTTCATTCCCTTATTCTCTTGTCTAAAACTGACTCCCTCTCCAAGTCCAAGTTTCCAGCCTACTTAATTCTGTATCTGTTAGTATAACTTTGTGGTTGCTCGTTGATGTAGATAGAGAAGTTATGATTTTAATTTGTAAAATAAGTGAACCAACGTAAGGGATCGATCAATTTTGACACACCTAACTGAGAAGGGTTAATAAAATGAAACGATAGAGAATGAAGTCTTACTGTTTATGTTTATACCAAACTAAAATTTAATCTGTTGACACAGAAAGGATTACTATAGAACAAAAGGTAATAATCGGAGACATATTTTTCTTTTTCAAACTTTTTCCATTTTTATTTTTTATATTTTTTGGCTGAGAGGGTGAGCGAATACTGAATAGTGAGCGAACCAAAGATAAAAGTGAAAAGTGATGACCCAAAAGAATTTGCTAAATTCCTTTTACAGTCATGGAAAGGTAGTTGCGCTTTGAGTAGCTCATGGCCTTACATGATGCCAAAGTAGTCTTTTCCTGGATTAACCTAAAGGAATAAGGCTGCACTTTCTCTGATCCCGTTTCGAGTTTCTAGGTCACTCTCTAATAAACTTGTTTTAAATTTAACCCAAAAAACATCCCCATACATTGAGAGTTCTCATTAATTAAGCCACTTTTAATTTATGATTATCAAGTTTGGTTAAACAGCCAAAAGACTTTGACAAGCAGCAGCTACTATAGACACCCCAACTGTCAAAACTTGTAGTAGTAGCAATCTACGAATTAACAAAGTCCGTTGACGTTGGTAAAGAATAAACTAGGGAATAGTTCGGGCTTGCCCATGTTGGTTGATTTGGTCGTTAACCAATTGATATGGATCTCATTATCCTCAAGTTCACTTTGGCCTATATAGTACTTTATTATTGGTCCTTAGTTTGCTGCATGCCCTGCATGATTTAAAGTTGCAGTAATATTTGAATAGAACCACAACAGCTTATTTTAGAATGACAAAGACAAGATTTTGAGTCAATAAAGCATGTTCTTCTTTTAATCAAATGAGAGCTGGTCGTATTAAAGCGACTTCTTACAGATTCCCTTCACATGATCCCCTATATATCATCTTCTTCAGCAATAATTCTGCCTGATTGCGACATTAATTACTTCTAGCTTTTCCTAGTGTGCGTCCTCTTGTCTGTTACTCATTTTATAAACAATGTTAAAAGAATATTTACAAAAAATCGAAGTGCTACATTGTTAGTTCAAATTAAATGGTAAAATTTGATACTTAATAAAGAAACATTTTTGCTAGGGATAAAACTTATAATTACTTTTAAAAACCGAAAACAAGGTGAGATCAGCTAGAATTCAAAGTCATATAAAATATAAGGTGTTTGTGTTGTAATTTTCAATTTATTGGCTCGTGTTTTAGTTGCAACCATAGAACAAACATAATTTCATATGCAGGAATGGATAAATAAGATGAATAAGGCAGGAATAGATAAATGTTTGAACAGTTCTTTATGGGTCAAAATGTATCCTTAGAATAGTTAAGTGAAAATAGTATTGGTGGAACGTTCTCAGTTGTTGCTTGTCGAAATAATCTAAGAAACGGTGAAGTCCGTGGTCAAAGAGTCAGCAAGGGCTGAAGCAAAGGAGTCATCAAGGATTAAGGCCGAGGTCGAGCGCCCTTGACAGAGTTATAACGACTAGTTTCAAGATAGGACATAAAAGAGAATATTCTGGTGGATATTCTCTGCACTTGTATTGTTAGAGTATTTAGGAATATGTTCCATATAAATAGAAAGAGACACTATGATAGGGGATAAGGGATATTCATTTGTAAAATACACTTTAACTTTAAAGAAAGAATCAGATTTTATTGCAAGCATACAAAAATAATATTTTCACGAAAATTCTTGTCCATACTTTTCCTGAGAATAACTCATATATTCAAAGGCTTATCCATCACTGTCATAAGGAACATTCATTGATTTCATCATTTCCTGGTGACTCAACCATTCTATTTACATAAGTGTCATATATTGATGTTCATCACTATTTAATGCTATATTACTTCCNTATATATATATAAATATCATTTATTACACTTTCGAGAATTTCATCTTTGGTATATTATTGTTAACTAATATTAACCCTCATTAGTATAAATTTAATTAGTTGAACCAAAATCTATATTTTTTTGTAACAAAAAGTTCTAAAAGTATTTATTCAAACACCTGAGCCTCTGTGACATCAACGCAATACGAGAGTAATATGAATTGTCGTGTGTCATATTTAATTCCAAACGGCTGAAAAATATTAGTTCGGTAAATAGTATTTCTTCAGTTCCATTATATACGACATTTTTTCCTATTCTATTTGTAACCAAAAAAAAAAACCTTTTTCTATTTGAATCTCTCTTCATTTTAATTTTTATTTTACCTTTAAAATACTTATAGATTTATGAATATCACAATATATTAAGGTTAGAAGTTTAATGTAACTATTGATACGTTTTAAAAAAATCATTTATTTTAAAATTTCGTACCTAAACAAATATTGCCACAAAAATAAAACGGGGAGGGTATGTTCCAATTAAACATGGACTGTCTCTAAGGGGCGATACAACAGAGACCTGAGAAATGTGAAATTTAACGAGACAAAAATCGGTATGGAATCCTAAGAGCAAGTGCGACCCCATGCCACGTTAGAGAGGGGTCCCACGGGCCCATCCCTTTGGCGTGGCACTAAAATACAAGTCAGAGAAGATGACTGAGATAGCATTAAGCACAAAGTGGGTCCCTACCACATGGAACCCATGCATCTGTCTCTGCTCAGGGAAAAAAGAGAATCTGCGATCAACACTTTCTAACACGCATCATGTCTCAATTTATATTACTAGGAACACTACTGTATTCTTTCTTATCATGTCACTTCCACAAAAGTTGTTCACATTTCCTGTATTCATTGGATCCGAGGTTTCATCAGTTGAAATAAGCTATTTTGATAGTTTGAAAATTGAAAGAGAAATATGGAATCAAAATTTAGGGCCGTTTGGCCGTAAGAAAATTTTCACTTTTTTCAGAAATTATTGTTTATCTATAGAATTTTTAATTTTCAGTTGAAAATGAATTTTGAAATTTTTCAAAAATTTAAAAAATTTCAAAAGGCTCTTTTTAAATTTTTTTTTTACTTCAAATCACTCACAAAAATTCAAAACACAAGCCAAATTATATTCATGTCCAAACACAACTCTAACTTTCAAATAACATTTTCGCTTGAATTTTTTTTTAAATTTTTCTCAAAATTTTACAATTCTTTTTTCCAAACGCCCACTTAAAATTCATTAGTTAAATACTGAAATTTAACTTCTATTGTTTCAAATGTATATGCTTTTTTCCTCCTTTTTTCCAGTGCTATAAATATTAAACTATATTAACATGACAGCTTAGTAATATCTCTTTGTCACGTCAAGATTGGCTATTTGACCATAATCACCTACGTACTTAACTAATTGATTTAATGGTAACGCTACTAAACTTATATACGAAACATTAAATTTTACTCTCTTTTTTCAACATGAGATATTACTTATAGGGAGGATTCCTAAATCCTGAGGCGCGAATGATTTCGTTACTAACCATTACATTTTTTGTGTGGATCAAGGTACGAACCAAGTTAACCATATATGTAAGTTAATTTACGAACTACAATCTATATCATGATACATGGTAACTCTGCCGAACCTAGTCCACCTATCCCGTTTGAAGTGTTAGTCAGGACTTCTCTGGTATCATATTTTAACCTACGAAATACTAAATATGGGACCACCCCATCAACCATTTCTCGAATATGTTACGTTTGCATAATCACCCGCACAAAAGAAAATAAATATGCTCAATCGACATATAAGTTGCAAAATTTTGTACCATATATCTAACTGTGCTTGTTCTTTGGATTATCAAGTCGTTGGAAGTTACTCTACTCTACTTTATTTTCATGTTACTTATGGCACATATAGTTTCATAACATAATCGAGAATATCATAGAATTTAAAGAATCTAGGTAGACTCAACGTTAGAATAAAGTTTAGAACATTGCGCCATATATACAAAAATCCATATGAACAAAATGTTATATTGTACTGAAATTTAACAGGTAGGGTATGGGAAAGGTAGTCTGTACACAAATTTTACCCCTACCTAATGCAGGTATAGATGTTGTTTTCAATAAACTATCGCTCGGAAAAGGTGAGAAGAATAGA